AACAGAGTGGTGCTATCAAATCTCATTTGAACTCAACACACTCAATCACAATTAGCCGTGAAATCCTCGACAGCAACACTAAAGTAATATACCAGAACAGCAACTACACGCATCTTAAAATTGCAGAAGCAGTCCTAATTGACATCAATAAACCAAAAATAAATATGCAACAAAAAATGACAACCTCACTTCCAACTCGGCGCTTAACCAACAACGAAAACAAAGAAGTAATAAAAACTAGCATCGTAAATAGTGACAAAGAAGAATATGATGCTATAGATGAAGAAAAGGAGACCAAAGAAGATGACCAGCCAATAAAGAAACCTGACACCTAATTAGCATCAAAGTTCAATTTTACAACACCAAAGTTAATTTTTACAACGTCAAAGTTCATCTTGACAAAGTCAATATTTCCCTATATATACAACAAGGAGCACTGATGATGATTCATTTATCATGCCTTATTTGCATCATGAATTCGAAAAATAAGTTTTTTTTTGAATTTTAATAAACTAAACTTTCACCAAAATACTTTAGTGAGAAAAATCGAGAAAACGAACTACAAACATATTAACGCCAAACATTCGACAGAATTTATAGAATATTGTAAAAATTATGGTCTATTACCATAATTTATATATATATATATATATTTATATATATATAATATTTCCTGATTATATTATCAAAATGTATATTATATATATATATATATATATATATATATATTTATATATATATATAAACATCTGTGTGTGTGTTTTAGCATTAGTATATTGAAATTGCTCTTTATTACCTACTCTAATGTTCTATCCTTATTTTTATTATTTTATTCAATTCATCACTTGGTCTATCTAAAAAGAATTTTTTTTCTGGAAACATTAATAAACCAAAAATAATTTACTCTACTTAATTTGAAGCATTTATGTAAAAATATCTTGGTATATGTTAACGAAAAGTTTTAATTTTAAAATAGATTTTCTGGGAAAATTAGAGCCATTGAACTGTTCCATGGAAACGATTGTGGCAATGATAATAATGATGACGATGTAGAAGAAGAAGATGATACGATAAAGTTTGAATTGATAATAAAAATTTTATGAAAATGCAATGACAAAAATTACGTCAATGTTACTACTTCCTACTAGTATTAATAATTAAAATAACCTTATATCAGCGAATCATTTGTTAAAAAATTAACTATATAAATAAATAGTGAACAAGCGGACAAACTTAAGAACAACCGACCAGTTTAAAAAAAATGCATAAATCATTATAGGAATGAACGATGTGACAAAATACGAACGAAAGACAGAATTGAACATGTGAATATATGGACAAATGAACCAAAAATAACGTGCGAATGTATGAATGAATGAAGGAATGAATGAATGAATGAACAAATGAACAAACAAATAAAGAAATGCAGAGTACAACTTTACGATTGCATGTAACACTTTTCAAATCTGTCAATGTTTTATTCATGCCTGACATGTATAATCGATTTAATGGGCAATTAACACGAACCTGCTTCAGCACTGGGGACTAATATTATAATAAAACTTTCACTACTACTTCTTTTACTATCTACTACTACTACTACCACCACCACCACCACTACTACTACTACTACTACTACTACTACTACTACTACTACTACTAATACTACACTACTACCACTACTACTACTTTAACTGCTGCTGATATTACTGTGACTACTGCTACTTATACTTTTACTATATAATTTAGACTACTACTACTACTACTGCTAGCTACTACTGCTTCCACTGCTACTACTATAACTACAGCTATCACCGCTACTATTATTACTATTGCTAAAATAATAAAGGTGATTGTGATCAAATATTATTTATACTTAATGAGCACTGAAGCTTTTCGGTGAGATTTATTAGCTCTTTCTGGCCAACATAGTAGCTATAAATAAGAACATCGGAAGTGGAATTAATTGCGAATTTGTGTTACTATGTTTCTTTATTAATCATACATTTCTGCTTATTGTTATTCTTTTGTTTTAGTTACTAGTACTATTTTCATTCATATTATTATTAGCAGTAGTTGGAGGTGTTGTAGTATTTTTTTAAATACCACAAGTTTTTAGAATGCTACATTCCATAAGAAACAATGTCGTTGTTTTTATTATCTCACAATACTTGCTGAGCTTTTTAGTTAAATTTGCAATTTATTTTTTTTATAGGAGAACGAGTTGATGTTTTTCTTTTATTTATAAAAAACGCAATCAAATAAAATTTTTTTTTTTAAATGGAAAAAATTATTAATGATCAGTTTTTAGATATATTTTATTCATTTAATTCTAATTGACTAAATTAACGCAAACGCCAATGAAAATACATGTGTCGGTGTAATGTTTAATCATTGTAAAATGATATAAAGCTTGAAAACTTAGAAGAAAAAAATCTAAATTTGTCGGTTTCAAACGCAAAAAAAATCTTTGAAATTTTGAAAAAATCAAATAAAATGACATAAAAACAATCACGGTATGGCAGATGCAACAAAGGGATAGGATCAAAGTAAGTTAAACACGCAAGGAAACAACACACACACCCTACACACACACACAAACACACACACACTACACACACACACCACACACACACCACTCACATACACATTCTCTCTTTTCATTTCTTAGTTTTCTCTCTCTCTCTCTCCTTCTCTATCTATCTCTTTTTCTGTATATATATGTATAATTTTAATTAAATTTTGGCTGTGTCTTGTATAACGTATAAATGTAGATACTACAAGATTTCTATAAACAAATATTGACACATAAACACACTTGTATATGCATGTATGCTTGAATATTTGTTCGTCAGCTTGGTTGCATGTCTGTATATAAGTATGTATGTGTATATTGAACGTGCTATAAACAATTTACAGAATACGTGATAGAGTACCAAGTGCATGTTTTTTTTCTTCTGCTTGTTTCTTTTTTGTTTTTTTATTTTGTTTTATTTTTGTTTATGCTTTGTTTTGAAGGTTTGTGTTTATATTTTTATAGCACACGCTTTCAAAAGCGTTGCAGTTTCGTTCCTTTGATGTGGTGTATTTATGCGTTTTGTTTATCTCGTCTGGATGCC